TAGTAATAGAATTAGGCTGCAACATAGATAGCTAGAAGCTAGTTATTAGTAGGCTTGTTGCGTAGGTTGTTGACAATGTTGTAGTTATTGATTAGTATGCTGCTGTTGTCAAGGTTTTTGTTCCTGTGGTTAGAGTAGTACTAATTAGTGTCTAGTTAATTGTTGGAAGAGTTGCTGGCAAGGCTAGGAGGGTTTCTAAGTTGACAGCGGAAGAGACTACCTAAGTAGGCAAGAGTGGCAGAGTCTGCCATTGACAGTTCTGCTTGCATAGGCAAGTGTCTAGCAACTAATCAGGCTATGGTAACTAGTTAGATTAGCAGGTTTAGCATTAAAGGTAATAGCAATGTAAAAGGCAAAATGATGTAAAAGCAGTGTAATGCAATGCAAAAAGTCAAGAAAGAAAGGATCTTCTTTGCAAATAAGTTGGCAAAAAAGGCAGGAAAGCAGTAAATATGCAAGAGACTTGCTAGTGAATACGCAAGAGGCTTAGGTATTCAAAGGTTGGTGAATACTCTAGCAAGTATTCAAATGTTAGTAGGAAGAAGCCTAAATATTTAACAGGTTAGGCCTAAATACTTGACAGGTTAGGTTAAAGCAGGTAAGTAAATAGTGCTTTACGCATAGATTAGTCTAATCAACATGTCAAAGGCTTGCGCATAGCTAACGCTATTTGCAAGCTCTTAGGGTGACTTTGGTATTGCTAGAATTAGCGAAAATTGAGGTTTTTGGTGGGTTTGGTTTATATTATAACTCCAATAAGTATATCTATGCTACCAATTTATAGCGCGTTAGCAGAGAGCTACTTTAATAGCAATCTTGTAATATTGTACAAAGTAAAAGTAGTGTTGATATTTGGTGGTTTCTATGCAGAAGGCGTGTAGGCTTTGACTAACCTGCGCTAGCGCATAGGCTAGGTCACAGGCCTCTAGAGCCACTTCAAGCCCCACCCTCACTATCTATTTACAGCTAGTAGAAACTATCCTTTCTACCCTACCAAGCCTCACGCATTATATAGAAGGTTGTAGGTTGTGATTTTCAATATTACTTTCTTAATTTAATATATCTTCTTCTATTAGACTATTATTACTACTTGATTTAATAAGTGTAGACCTTATACTTTGATTTAAATCAACTAGATTGCTATTTAAATCAGTATTTATATTACTTAAATTATTACTATTTAAAGTAATATTTGAAAAATCAAGTAGTGCTTTAGGTATTTCTTTATTTTTAGACTTTATAGTTGTAAGAAAGCAGTTTTCTATTATGTATAAATCTCTTGTCTAAATAGGCCTTTTATATTTAAAGTCTTAGATCTTGTAATTATTATAGTCTATACCATAACCTATTAGAATTCCTAGTATGCCACAAGAGTCTAGTTTCTTAAAGTTAAGCCTCTTTCTTTTAAAGTAAACTAGGCTCCCAAAGACTTTAATATTGGTAATATCAGGTTTTTCACCATTTTTAGCTTTATATAGTGTCTTAAATCCCAGCTTACTATGTAGGGTCCTATTGTATAAATAGGTTACAGCTAGTAAAGCCTCTCTCTACATATATTGTGGCAAATTACTATTTAATAGTATACACCTTACTTTATTTAGTAAGGTATGATTAATCCTTTCAGCATTTCTATTTTGTTCTTTAGTGTATAGAGCTGTAGTTTGGTATATTATACTAGCTTTATTAAGTGTGATTTTAAAGCGTTTATTTACATATTCAGTGCTATTATCAAAGCTTAGTATTTTAATCTTATGCTTTAAGCTTGTCTGATTTTCAGCTTTAGCCTTAAAAGTTAGGAATGCACTATAGGCTTTGTCTTTTAACCTTAGTAAGGTAACTTTAAAGTATTTAGTCTTTTTATCCAAAAAGGTAATAAAATACTAGTAATTATTGTAAGTTAATGGCGTAATTAGGCTATATAAATTACTACTGATTTTATCTAGGTATTCATAACTATTATTATTGCTAGTAACCTTAGGCATACTATTAGTTATATTTGCCTATATGCAAATTTCACACTTATGCATATTGCAGTTATTTGCAAAATTTGCATTAGCATTTTAAATATCTTTATAGCCAGTACTATTATTCTAGTTATAAGAATTATTTTCATTAGTGTTTATAGTTATTGATTTTATTACAGCAGCAGAATTAGGTTTTGCCTGACAGTTGCCTTGTAAATTAGGTAGATAAGTTTTCTTGTTAGTTTTGGATAAATTAGACAAAGTTGAATTTAATCTACTAGGAATTGCTATATTTAGGCTATTATATAAGCTTTTGTTAAGCAGATTTTTGTTTTGAGTAGTACTCTTAGTTATCTTTTGATTACTAATTATACTTTTCTTACTAGTCATATGACTACCTTGTAAATCAGTGTTTTTCGTATTTTTCAGCAGGTAGCCTATAGCTTTTGCATTAATATAGCCTATTCTTTTGTGCAGTAATTCATATAGTGCTTTTACACTACTTTCTTGTACTATATTTATAGTAGGCTTAGGCCTTGTAATATTATGTTTTTTAATTACTTTAATAGGTAGGTAATATAAATTACCTATTTTATCACCTTTAGTGATTACTTTATTATTTCTAATAAGTGCACAACCTGCAAATGAAAATACTAATTGTATATTTTGAAGTTTTCCTTGACTTATAAGGTTGATACCAATTTGTAGCATATAAAGACAGTTTTGTAGTAACATCTTTTCTTTGCTGTCTATAAATTCAATATATACATTTCCATACCCTGTAATTTCTAGGGTTTTTGCCCCGCCCCAACTAACCATAGTCTTACACTCTTGCATTGTCTGAAATAGCAATTTATCACTTATAACGTAAGCTTCTGCAGCAGTATCTATTACAAAGTTAGCTTTGTATATAGAATTTGACTTGGTTGTTAATACCTAGACCTGCTTAGTATTACAAGCTTTGATCTTTTTGATCTAGTCGCTTAGATTGGCTAGCTTATTGTCAGTCAATATTGACTGTAGTTAAGGAGATATATTTGTTATACACACATTGAGTTTTTCAAAATCTATTAGATCTTTTTGACTAGCTATAGCTAAGTCAAGTGCTTTTTCTTTGTATAGATAAAAGCATTTTGTAGTATTGTGAGTTGATTCTTCACAATAGCTACACCAATCTCCTTTGTGGTTTTTAAAGGTAGATTCTAGATTATATGCTTGCTTTAGGGTATCCCATATAGCTTTAGCATTTTCCAAGTGCTTGATTTTTTCAAGTGGGTCTTTGTCACACAAAAGCTTCAGGATTTTTACAGCCTGATTGTTTTCTTTGGCAGTAAATCCTTGGGTTTTATAAATGCAGTAATGCAAATACTCAACTTCCAAAATAATTGCCATATGAAATGACCATTCAAGGTAGTTGGCTTTGCCTGTAAGGCAAGGGATAGCGATTTTGCTGTCCATTTTGGAAGAAAGGGTGGTTGGAAAGACAAGATTGTGTAGACAAAAGGGTGATTTTTGCGTATTGTAAGTGAACCAGTCACTTTAAAAGGAAATGGAAAATACCACGTGAAAGGGGATAAAGTTATTAGTGGAAATCACGTGACAGGAAGGAAACCAAACCAGTGGTTGCCTTAATAAGCAAGGTTTGAAGTTGGAAGGTGCGTAGGTTGACTAGTTGAAAGAGATTGAGCAATCCAGGCTCATAACCTCAAAAGGTTAGGTTGTGACCAAAGAGGTAGGTTGTGGAAGCAAAGTATTCAACTAGTGAAAGTACTGCTGTAAGCAGTAGAAAGGCAGGAAGTAAGGTAGGCAAGTAAGGTGGAGAAGACTGGTTGTATTGTATGGTTGATGATTTTTTTACCAAAGTCAGCTGGCTAATCTAACTGACTATATAGTAAAAATTTAGTCTTCTTGCTTTACTTAATCTACTAGATCAAACAACTTGATACCTTGGATTGGCTAATTAGACTAGGTCTGTAGGATCTGATTGTTTGAATCAGTAGTAATACGTAGATTACACACTTACAAGGTGGTGATATGTATCAAGTGGTTTGACAGGGTTTGATGGTTTTAGGTGGTTTGATTTTCTGCACCTACCTTGTACTTGCAAAGCTACCCTGGACTTGCCGGGCTACCCTGGACTTGCCGGGCTACCCTGGACTTGCCGGGCTACCCTGGACTTGCTGGGCTACCCTGGACTTGCAGGGCTACCCTGTCCTTAAGGTTAGGGTTGCCTTTGGCAGGAAAGTCCTTTGGACTTCAAATGCCAATTATAAAGTAAGCATTAATCACGTGACTTAACTACTTTGTAGGCTTATAAATAAGTCATATGTGATGCTTAATTAGCAAACCGCTTAGTCATCACTATTGTGGTTGCCTTAATATATAGGTTTGAAGTTAGATTACCAAGTAATCTTTATAATGCGGTTCCTTCTAAAGTTTTTTCTATAAAACGGTTTTCCTTAGACACTATAGAGGTTAATTAAGTATATACACTAAGAATAGTTAGCTAGAGAGAATAGCTTGGCAATATAATACATATATATATATATATATATAAAAGGCAAGATAGATAGGTTTTTAGCAAAACATGCAAAGGTTAGCATTATCAAAGTTATCAGCGCAATTAGTACTTGATACTTCTTCAGTTAGCATTATACCAAAATAAACATCAATTACTCAATGGAATCTCAATAAGGCTTCTTTTAAGCTATACCTAAAGCTATTAAGTGTAGATTATAAGGTAAGAAGTAATCGCATAACTTAGCTATTTTGTAGCCTTATAATTAAGCCATATGTTATGCTTAATCACTAAAACGCTTAGTCATTACTATTGTGGTTACTTTAATATATGAGTTTAAACCTAGAGTTATCAAGTAATCTTTACAGATTCCAACGCTATAGCTGTTAAAAGCTATAGGCACCGTGCCTATACTTTACCGCCCTTAGTGCATGGAGGGCTCTGGTTCTCTCCGGTTCCCTTTCCTATTGCCTATCTTTGCCCCCAATCCCCCTTATTTCCTTTCGTTCCACTGCGAGTCAGCCTAGATCCACCACCTGAGCTGCGCCACGTTTTTGTGCGCGGTTCGCGAGTCGAAACCTTGCGTTCTGCATCGCCGGCGGTATTATCTTGAAGAACTTGTCAATCTCGTGCCAGTCCTTGTAGTAGATGGGTACACGTAATTGCTTGGCATTAGCCGGGTTCTGCGGATTGGTCTCGACGAAGATGGTGACAGCTAGGAGACAGAGCGGATCGCGGCGGGGACCTTCGCACAGAACGACGATGACGACGCGGGTGAGGAACCATTGCCTCTTGGCGGAGGTGGCTGTGCCGCAGGCCATTGCTAGGGATGCGGAGGTGTATGTTGGATTGGCGATGGTGGTGGAGACATCGAGGACGAAGCTGAATTGACAGACCAACGGACTGATCTATTAGTTGACCGTAGTCCTGTATGATGCTAAGAGGTTGACGGTTAGTCATCTTACGAACTGAACTGCATCCGAGCCGAGACCTATGCACATGTATGCGCCCATGACATTACATAAACTAGTAATACACACTGTGGTGGGAGAAGTAAAGTCCAGGCCACAACGAGGGATGACGTGCCTGTTCCAAAGGACAAGCCAGGTATCAAAAGCCAAAGCCAAACCAAACACCAAAGGAAAAACCAGCGGGCGCCGACGCAGAGAGTAACACAGCCGGCCGGATCAGAAGCTGAGGACTTAGGACGCTGAGGACCTTAGCCTCCGTAAACTACGACAGTCCCGTCACCCTGATGTCCCCCTTCCATATCCTTGTCAACCTCCATCTCCAGCTCCTCCATCTCAATGTTCCTGTCATCTCCAGTAGTCCTACTATCCTCGCCACCATCCACGCTAGACGGACTCTCGCTCACCCCCTCATCCCCCGGGGCCTTGTCATCAGGAAAGGAAGTCGAGATAACAGAGGCCAAGATACAAGTAAACGGAAACATCCCAGACGGCCCAATGCGCACAATGGCTATATACCCTGCCAAATCCTTCAGCCTACCCATCGTAATCCGCACGTCCTCCTTAGCCGCCTCAACAGCCTCCTGAGCCTCCACCACAGCGGTCTGAGCGGCCTTGACCTTGGCCTCCGCTTCGGCGCTGACCTGGGAGCAATCCGTGACCTTCGCCTTGGCGCGCGCCACCTGCTCCTTGCGATCGTGCACCATCTTCTCCTGTTGTTCCAGCAGCGGGTTGGCGGCGATGCTGTCGACGGAATGCGAGGCCTTGGCTTCATCCAGCCAGTGCTTGAGGCCGTCGCGGGAGGTCTCGGCGCTGCGGAGGTCGGAGATTGCTTGGTTTAGGTCGGCCTCGAGGCGAAGCTTGCGCTCTGGGGTGATGGTTGTGGTGTATTCTTGCGAGACTTGGGAGAGTGTGTCTTGGGCTTGAGAGAGGGCTTGTTCAAGTTCGTTGGCTTTGGACTGCTGGGCGGCTTGGACAGCGGTGAGGGTCTTGATGTTTTCTTTGCACATGTCGAGCATCTGGTGCAGCATCTCGGTCGTGGATTCGTGGTGGCCGTTTGGGTTGGGTTGATGGGGGAGTGCCTGGGTTAAAAGACTTGGGTTAGTCGAGTGTGCGCATCGGACGGGGAGGGAAAGGGGCGGGTGGATGGTGGATGGAAGGATGGATGTGGTGTTTCCCGTACCTCGTGCATCACAGCAAGCTCCTTGGCCGGGGTGGTGCTAACTCGTTGCCGCTTCCGCTCTCTCTGGCCGGTGGTGTCCTTGTCCTGCGTGAGAGCGACACGTTTGCTCTGCGGTGTAGCTGTGGGTATAGCGCCAGCCGGAGTGGCTGGCGGGGCTGGAGTGGTCGGATTCAGGATTGACGGCGTGGTGGTCTGGCGAGGGTTGCTGATGACATCCGTCGTATTGTTGGGAGTTGGGGTCTCCGGAGTTGATCGTGCGCGAAAGCTAGTTCGGCCAGCTGGGCGAGCCGAGAAAGCTCGGCCGAGAGCTCCGCGTTGAGCCGAGGAAGCCCAGTCGACATGATCAGGTAGAACAGACATATTCTTCTTAATTGTCTCGAGTTCGGGGCCCTCGATAAGCTGCTTATTGTCGTCGCGGCGATTGTAGATGACCTTCATAATCTGCTGCTTCAAGTGTTCCGAGTTCAGTCCCTTCTGGACCGCCAGGCTACTCAATTTCGCAAGAGTGGTAAGTTTGTTGGCGCCCATGTTGGATCCGAGGTAATTGGGCAGAAACTGGTCGACTCGCATGCCGACAAATGCCTCGAATCTCCCCATAGCCTCTTCCTTCATCTTGATTGTCTTTCCGCTGGCTTTCGACGAGCCCGATGGCGTGGGGACGGGCGGGGGGTCCATTGTGACGGACAACCCGGCGCGACGAGAGGATCTGACGCGACGGCAGAATAAAAAAGGCGATGCGATGCGGCGCGCGAGACGACGGAAAGCAAGAAAAGGACGAGATGGAATGGGCAAAGTGGTCGACAAAGTCGTGCGTATTTGTTAGGGCCGCGCGGGAATTGATTGGGTTTGGTGGTGATGCGGAGGTGATGTTATTTGATGAAAACAATCGGAGAGCTGAACGAACAGATGAGCACCTGAGCTTCACCGCCTTAGTTGCCGGTCTTCACCGCTTGGCAATAGTGAGGGGTCACGGTGTGGCAAATTCAGCTGCTGATCTTCACCGCCAAGCGATAGTATGTACTAGCTGAATGCTCTGCTGCGTTTATCACGTGCAGTTTTGGGAGCAGCGCTAGGGTATCTACGGATGTACAGTACTGTACCTTCCTCCTAGCGTATGAAGCACCCGGCGCAATCGCGGCAACGGTACTCACAACAACCCGCAACATTTGTCCAAAGGTAAAATAAATTGATGGCGATGAACTCTGCAACCATGAGATGTGATGAGGAAAGGAGCTAATTAATTTTACAATCTAATTTGAACCTGTCGTTCCAACGAAAACATTCCTGCTTACCTTTTAAACCCTTCGTAATAAAACCAAGCCTCCTTACTCCTTGGTATCCTCTCCTCTCTCCATTTCTACTATCTTTTTGTTTATCCTTTCTATTCTCTGCTAGAGCCGAGAAGTAACCAGCTATTGCATTGCATTGCATACACCGCCCTCTAAATGCCCCCAAGGTCAGGCAAGGTGGCATATTCACGAGTTCGCCGTTTAGCCTCCTCATCCAATTCCTCCTCGTCTTTCGGAGCCCAAATGCCTATCTTCTTGTCCCTGGCTTTCTAGTCTGCCTCTTTAGCCGCACGGGTCTGCTTCCACTCAACATACCGTTCATCCGCCTCCCATTGAAGCTCTGCAGAGTATACGTCGATGCTGTCTTGCTGCTGCTCTAGGAACTTGACGTCCTTCCCAAGAGCCTTGGCCTTGTCGAATATCTTCGAGGCCAGGGCGCTGGGCTTGCTAAGCAGGCATCGCGTGTGCGTCACCTCAAGCGTGACGGACTCGTCGGTAGTCTGCCTATGATGCCTGCCTTGTAATCCCACGCCTATCTCTCCTGCAGCTACTCCTGCTTCTCCCCCGTCTTGCTGTTGTCTCCGGGGCAGACGTCAGCGCTAGCATCCCACCCGCTGTTGCCGACCATGAGTCTGTCAAAAGAAGTGGCTGTTTGAGGTCCCGCTACCATGTTGGGCTGGGGTCTTAGGATGGCGTGGCGAAGTTTCTCCGTTCCTTCAAGTTTCCTGGCCAGTCTCTCGAGGAGGTCTTTTACGACCAGCCGAAAGAGGCGGTGATGCGCTTGAACCAACTAGGCTTCTTCTCCGCAGGGACGGGTTTCGGGGGTCGAGCGGCTTTGAGGGCGGTCTGGGTGCCAAGAAGGTAGCAGCGCAGCACTTAACGTAGCGCTTGTTTAGCTGCACGGTGGCCTTGCGAGGTGTTGTGCTGGGGCGATGACATAGGGTTCACGTTGGATTTTGATGTTGGTTATGTCTTGTAGCTCGTCAATGGCAGGATTGGGCGAGGACTAGGCGAGAAGGAAGTTGGATAGGGAAAAGTTCTGTGATAAGTTTATTGTCCCAAACAAGATAGCAGATTAGGCAAGAGTCAGTCCAGGTGTGCATGTAGGCAGACGCCAGACCGCATGATGTAGCATGGACTTGCCAAGTTGAGAATCAAGGTTTTCTAGATCCACATAATATGCTGTGTGTAGGGGGTGAGGTTGTCTTGGGTAGTGGTGGCGGCAGCACCGTCATGATCATAGCCATTGCCATCACACTCAATACCGTCTAGGCCCTAAATGGGGCCGGCGGATGAAGGCCTCAGGGTGGTCGACAGCATGGTAGGGAGGCATGAGAATGCAACAGTAAGAGAGAGGAATAGACGAGTGCCTGTGACGATAGCACCAACGAGGAACTGCCTGGGGCTTATGGATGGAACAAGGAACTTCGGGATGGCTGCGACTCCCTTGGCTAGCGGTGCTGGCGGAGACTTCAAAAACGATCCGTAATCGCTGTCATGGCAGGGTTATGTTATAGGCTCAATTAGTCATAGGTACCACGCATGCGGATATGGGCTGCCCGGCTATGGGACCACGGACATGGGCTCGTGCCTTTTATGGGCTCGGGTTTTGTTATAGGCTCGGGCTTCAATCCTTAAAAAGCAGTGTGACCAAACCTTTTCGCCCCATGCTCCAATTATATCATATCCAAAATCGAGGCATAGTCTGCTAAGATTGTAGAGAAATCGAAGTGCTTTGAGATAGATTAGGTTGGTGGAGTAGACAAAATCGGGGTGTTGAGATATTGCCATGTCCAAGGCAATATCGGTTTGGTCAGCAGCGGTGTAAAATGCACGGCCCTGTCACTGTAATAGCAACCATGATGGCTATGTTGCTGCCAAATCAATCGGCATGGCAGCCACATTCACCGTTATTGCAGCCATAACAGTTATACCGTAGCTTAAACACCTATGATAACATTCTATCACGCCCATATAAACCGTTATATCAGCCCTAGTCGCTATATAAACAATCTATCATAGCTGTTATACAGACATAGCCACCATAATGGCGGGCCGTAGCACCATGATGGATGGTTATGGAAGGCCAAACTGTGAAATACAACAGATCTTCTTCTCTTCAACTTTCTCGTGAGTCTTGCAGGGGCATTATTTCCCTAGCGACGGCTGAATACTACTCAGTCGTGAAGCACTTGAGTCAGCTTCTATAGACTGCATGCTTTTTGCCGCCTCACTCGACGCGTCGGAACCCAAACATACACGAACATGGCAAACCACAATTTCATCTTTCTCCACCTCCTTCTAGCACTTCTGCCACTCCTCGACGGCGTCGCCGCCCTCGAGCTCGGCAAGTGTGTCGTCAGAAGCGATCTGGTTGATTATGAACGTGGACAAGAAGGGAAAGACTCCTGGGATCTGCGTGATTGCCCGTTCCAATGACCATCCGTCCAATATACCACTCAAGGTCAAATCAAGTCTTCTAAAGTGCAATCCTACGAGACTTCACGCGGTCAGAGGTCGTCCCCGAAAGAGGTGACGAAATGTCTACGGCCAGCGGGATCTCGCAAGGTGGTCAGCAACTCGATGGGCTTAACAATAGCGACCGAGAAGACAGATCTCAACCGGTAGATCAGGAGCCAGGGGGTTTGTTCAATTGCCGGTCTAGAACCTAGAAACGCGTCGTCAGCACATCGTGGGTTTACAAAAAACAAGCGGTCGTCTCTGTCGATCAGACAGTACATTTCCATGCTACTCCTCTTCTTTCTTTCGGTCTCGCTCTCGAGTTAAGAGCCAGTACGACTCTCCAGATCGCCATCCTGATATCTATATAGCTCAGAGCTAGTTACATCTGCAACTGTCGTATGCAGCTGGCTGCAACTTGAGCTCAGGCGTTTGGACAACATTTTGATAGACATAGAGGCGTTCCGCTATTAATTATCCACCAGATAGCAGCGTCGCAGCACCACCGCCACCACCGCTGCCACTGCCGTTACCGTCATGCCTAGCCTGATCCACCGCTTAGAGAGAAGCACATCACCATTTGATGTTCACATGAAGCAAGTTTCCGGTCCAGCTTGGTCAAGAGAGGAACAGGGCACACGATAAACGCGCAGGTGCTTGGGCCTGCCAACGAACGACAGGAAGTAGCACTTGGGCAAGTCCTCCCCTCGAAGCCGGCCCGGATCGTGCTCGAGCCGTTGTTGAGGAAACACACCTTCCACTTTGATAATGACGAAGAGTTATAAGGCCAGATCTAATCCCAACTCATCGAATGCCTCACCAACTAACGGAGGTGAGGGCAGCGGCGCCGGTGTTGTGGACGAGGACGACGACGCGTCTTTCCGAGGAGTCAAGGGGCGGGCCGAAGGCCTCTGCAATGCGTATCTCGGAGCTGGAGCCGGAGGTCGCCCAGAGCGTCCGGCTGTACCATGCATCCTGGCTGGAGGTTGTTTCGGGAGGAGGCATAGTTAGCCGTCGGACGCGTCAACTATGCCGTCTCCGCCCTAGCCGCACACCTGGACTCTGGACCCGCCGCCGGCCGCCTCGTCGCCGCGGGGATGTGGACTGGAAGAAAAAGAGAAAGATAAAACTTCAGAGGAAAAGGAAATCCATGGTGACGTGTTCAGGGCTGAGGAAGGCGCGCGTCAGGGACAGCGGCAACGTGCCCTGTATGTTCTGCAATTGAGCCCGACCGTCTCGGATGCGTTTCAGAGGTCTCGCCCATCACTAATTAACAGCTGCCCTTCCTCTTGCTGCGTCACTGGTACCCTCACACAGACTGGAGGGTAGATGGCAGGATTGCCTAGCTAGCACTACCGGACACAGCAGACCAAGAAGACTACAAGCAAGCCCGCCCTAGACCTCCTCATCCCGCCCATGCCAAAGCTGAAGAGACTCCCAAACCAGCGGAAAGATGGTATCGACTTCAAACTGGTGTTCTTCAATGGCTTCTGATCAGTGCTGTGGTTCATGGGTTAGAGCTCCGTGCCGGTACACACCGGGGGTCCGGAAAGAGGGTCGGCAACCCGTGAAATTAGTGATTCACTCCCATCGCATGAAGAGAATAAGACTCTCCGTGGGACTGGGTCCTCGCCTGTCCGGGAACTCTGCGCCTAGCAGCTCGCCGATCTAGAGGACGCACGGGGCCGCGGAGTTGCTTGGCCGCCGGGGGGGGGGGGGGGGGGGGGGTTGGACGCGGGGGCGGGGGGGGGGGGGGCGGCACCATTATTGTTCGCCCCCCCGGCGGGGGGGGGCCGGCAACCCCCAAAACCCCGCAACCTAAAAAACC